TCTTTCCAGTTCTCTCCATCTCTTTTCATCATTGCTATGTGTTCTTCTTCTTCAAAACTTACCTAGAAATAAAATTTCCTTTCTTCTCATCAGGCAAAAATCTAAGAGAAGAGTATTTGTTGAGTTTGCTGCCTCAGTTGGAGAGCCTGAAAACTGCTGGTGGTGTGGGTTTCTAAAGCAGTTGTGCGTTGCCCAGCTGTGTTTCTCTTCCTCATTCCCCTGTAAATATGATGAAAGGCATATTCAGGACGATGCTGAGGAAGAAAGGACCCCATTGAGAAAGAATGTTCACCTTCTGGGTTCTCCAATTCTTCCCTTGAAAGTACAGAGGTCAGTGTGGCAGCCGTCTCTCTGGAGAAGTGCAAAGATGTATGGATAAAGTCTCCTTTTCTTGCTGGGAGATGTATTCTGTCATTGTTGCTGGAAGGAGGAGTTGAGAAGGAGCAGTACACTGCTGTGTCCTGGTGTTGAGGACTGTTATGGAACCAGAATTGTCTCGACATTGCCGTTCTACCGCCATCTTTTGGTTTCAACATCCAGCCCCCGACGAAACCACCACAGGGTGCCCATGCAGAGACCAGGGTGCGAAAGGCGGGGCCATGGACTGCACGTATGCTTGCGCAGAGACCAGGGCGCGAAAAGCAGAAGCGCAAACTGCATGTACGCAGACCCATTCTGTGCATGTGCATGGCCCTATAAAAGGACCGCGTGCGCCTTTTGAGGCCCTCTTTTCCTTCTCGTCCTACCCCGCGCACTCCTTGGAAGCTGCTCCTGCGGACACAGAGGCTGGACCGACTGGACTTTTGATCAACAGGATAATGCCGGACTGGGAGTGGCGGTAGCTAGTTTCCCTACGTGTCTTGCTTCTCACCTGCCTGAGCATGCTCTTTCTCTCCTTTCTCTCTCTCTCTTTCCCCACCCTGTCTCCCTACCCAGTCCTCACCCCATCGTTCACCAAAATAAAGTCAAAAGGTTGTACGGCATTTGACCTCGTTTCCGTCTTAATCTTGCCCTTGGGATTGTATCGAAACCTCCCCCGACTTTGGATCGGGACACCTGGGAATGGCTGCGCAGTGAGCTAATGCTTCCCTTCTCACTCTTCTTTGTTTTACTCACTGGCAGATGGCCACTAAGCAAGCCATCTCATGAGCCAGGCTTGCACTCTGTGGCACTTTTTATGCCAGAAGCAAGAAGTACAACATAATTATGAATGTTGCAAAAACATTCATGTGCTAAGGCCTGATGTTCTTAACCATGTTTTTTCCCTTTCCTCACTGTTTTGTTATACCCCCATTCCTGTTTGTCTGTGAAATGGCTATACAGGGAAAAACTCAGCAGAATATTCACAGCTGCTAAAACAGTCTCTGACCAGGCTGACTGAGCTGATAAAGCTTAACACTGATTCACATGTTCTCCTCATTTCTGCCTAGGCTTGTTACCTTCTAAGAATGGCGAAGGCTTCACAGAACAACTTTTGCTTGAGGTGGCAGAGATTCTCCTGAGTTACATTAAGAGAACCTATGATGGAGAAAAAGTCCTGGACTTTCACCACCCCCATCGGCTTCTGGAAGGCTTGCAGGGGTTCAGCCTGGACCTGTCTGACCAGCTGGAGCTCTTGGAACAAATACTTGCACATTGTAGGGAAGGGAAACCTTAATATATGGAGTTAAAACAGGTAAAATAGCAAAAACATACATGCCTCACATTGTCACATTACATGGTGCATGAAATATTATTTGATTCATGGATTGGACTGGATTTGTATGAAAATCTGGGTTTTATCAAATGTGTGGTATATATTTTGTGGCAATTCTATACTTCCAGTAATGTTCATAATGCTCTGAAAAGGTTTTGCTCTTCTGGAAGATGTTTGGTAAGAAGAGATATACTACTCTGGGACCAGTTAACAGACGTGAAGAGTTAGTTATTTATGCTGTCTCATTTAGGGGTCTCTGCATGGTCAGTGAAAAAAAAAAAGTCTCCTATGTTGGGTACTCTAAGTATTACTTTCTTACTTAGATACTAAAGTTTGATATGTACCTATACATGCAAGAGGAAAATGCCCCTCTTATGCCCTCATTAATGATAATATTATTTGAAACAGTAATGCTTTTGCAGGACTGGATTGGTTTTTGCACTGTTTCATGTTTCCCCTCTTCATTAAGGCATTGTTTACGACACACATGCTGACTTCTATGTCCCTTTTTTTCCTCTATATCTTCAGCTAACTTTTGTTTGCTGTATTTACAGAGGTGTTAAGCAGAGCACAGCACTTAACTCTCTACAGTGCAGGAAGTAGCAGAAAGATGTAAAACCATTTGGTTTTGTTCAGATATTCAAGGACATATGGAGTTCTTAGCTCTAAAGATGATAGGATGCTTCTGAACATCTGCCAACATTAATAACTTCCACAAGCACTTGTGTCTCATCCTGGTGTAGATAGTAAATTTAGTTGATGAATTTATTTTTTTTTAATGGTGCCAAATGCTTTACAACCTCCATTATACCTTTTCTCAGGGATGTTTGTCTTTCCTAACATTACCATGAAACACACTCTTTCTTGTGTCCCATATTGATTTCCATGTACTTCTAACTATTCACTTCACAAAAGATAGCAGAGACTGTGCTGAGAAAACGATCATCTATTACGTGGAATCTGGTTTACTTGCCTATCATTTCAGGACATTCTTGCTACTTCAATCAACTTTCTAGTGGCTTTGACATTACTGGCCTAGCTGGGGAACGGCTCACAGCTACAGTGAATACTAACATGTATGTACTGTAAATAGCAGACTTTTGTAGCAAGTGAAATTACAGCAATTACTCCTATACCATGACCTTTTAGTGCAGACAAACCCAAGGTGTGCTCATACATTTGTTTCTCAACAGTGGGGGACAGCATCTGTTTAAAGCATTCCTTTCCTGACTATATTCTCACTTTTCCCCTGCTCAGCAAGGGCATGACAAAATGGAACAGGACAGACCTTGGCTCTGCCAGTGCAGGGCAACTGGCCTTAGCTATGACTCTCAGTTGAGAGCAGCGGCTTCTGAAAGTGCTCCCCAGGACGTCTTCTCAGGGCATCAGTAGGCGTTGGCAGAACACTTGTGGACAATTACATTTAAAATACTCATCTCTTACATTTTGATTAATAGCAACCAATCTTACATGTTTGAATTGGGTGTCCTAACCAGAAAAACTGCTGTATTCCTCTGCAAATACATAGAATTAAAATCTGCTCTTGATGCAGATCAAAACTTCTAATGTCTCTGTGCTCTACCCTCTGAAACTGTAAGTGGAGGACTAATACATGAAGAATTAATATTTTAGGATGTTTGACCAGGACTGGATATCTGTATGCAAGATTTTATTGACTGGGGAGCATTATAGACCCATATAGGAGGGAACAGAGAAGATTCATCAAAGGGTGAATTGACCTCCTGCCATAGCTTTGCCCAAAGAATCTCCTAAGAAATCTAAACTACAGCGTGTATGTGACTGGTTCTGCTATATTTGTGTGTACTCTAAAAATCTTTGTTTAATGAATTCCCTGTAAAAGCCCCACATACATGTGTGTGTGTGTGTGTATATGTATATAGGTATACATACAATTCCCACCCCACCCCCTGAAAAAAAAAATTGTCTTTGTAATATCAGTTTCTGGTTTATCAGAATAATATTTTCAGTATAATGCTTGTTAGATATTTTCCCTAAACTAATTTTCTTTTTTTTTTAACCTCCGTGAAATAATAATGAATAAAAGGCAGGCTTTTGTCAAAGATATTTTAATAGGTTTCAGGACTGAAAATACAGCTTTTCAGAATTGGGGAATGGGTAAGAATGGAGC